CCTATCACGACACCACCACAGGCGTAACGATTGAGCTGAATCTGCAGTAATTCCTCAACACCGTCTAAAGGTGGGAGGAGCTTGCCCAGGTCGGAAGCCGGAGTGAAGGGCAGCTGCTCGGCCAGGGTTGTTGGTACGTAAGTCTCGATTACACTGATACCGGCGTTGTTTAGAGTGATGCAAGTGTGGCCTTGATCGTCGGTCACGTACCGACCGGCGAGGTGGGGATAGTGGACAAGGGCTTTGGACAGTCCATCCTTCAGGACTTCATTAGACGGCATTGGTGCTCTGAAGGCATACAAGATGGGGACATGGATATCAAAGGCTGCTTTGTCGAAGATGTTGAGAGGTATCAGAGCATTCGTGGTGGGATAATCTGAGGAAGAAGCAGCCTTCAAGAGGGTATTGTTGATTAACCCAATGGCCATTTCTGAGCTTTTCGTATACAATATCTAATGCGGTTGGCWGTGGGAATTGCTTACTAATAAATTAGCTAAGGCTAGCTAGCTCGAGATGAGTCTCTGAAACAACTGATTTGATTATTTATATAGAGAAACAATGAAGTCATGGTCAAGCAACCATGTTTAAGTTGYAAGTGATAAAGGTTTGGATATAAATAATTAATATAATTGTTGGAAGGTGAAGACCGGAAATATCGTTGATGGATCCTCGTTTCCGGATTTCATCGGTAGTCAAGGCAGCTGGTAGTGGTAGGGCGGGGTTGGTGAAGGTCAAGACACCCAGCCCCATGACTCCATGAGCCTGTACTCGTCGTCTCCTAAATCCTAATATTACTACTACTATACGTAATAGTCTTGATGTAAGSAGTGCTGATCAATCTGATTATGCTCTATTGTTCGTCAGAGATTTTCCGATTGAGGCGTCATGATGCTTGTTTATTTTATTGGCCAATTAGTGGGTCTGGTCCTATCAGATGGGCTGATRTAAACGGGGACCAACGTCAACATTCTGAACAGAAGGCTGCTGCGGGTAAATATATTACACTTTGAGTTGATTCAAGACTGGTCTCCAACTCTCCGCTTGCAATCTTTGCACTTTGGTCAAAATTTACAACCATGCTAGATCGTCATTTTTTGAAAGCCCGACTCGGAAACGGAATGGATGCGGCCATCCGTTTTAGGATAAGYGGTTAAATCATTCAGGTCAAATGGTTTGACCTGTGATGTCATAAATATAATAATGATAATGTAAATATTAATAATTATATTATAAAATTAATTATTAATGAAATTTTCCTAACTCAGTTTAACCCTTTAACAGAGCAATTTCTTCCCTGGTATACATTAATTATATTGTTAATTTGTCTGAACGAATCAAATAGTTTGATTCTCTTTCTAAACCTAGCAGTTGTTGAAACAATGACTTGACCCAACTTCCGTAATAAAATAAAACATCCAAACATACAAAAACAAAACAGTCAAAAGAAAATGCTTAAAATTCAAGGTTTCAAACTAGAGCAAATAAAAAGAAGGGTAAAATATAAAAACCTCCGTTAAAGTTTCTGACAATCTTAAAAACCTCCCCTATAGTTTTATTTTAACAAAAACCTCTCCTTTATTTTTGAAAAAATCGATAAATGCCTCCCTTCCGTCAATGATCATGATGGAAAAGATTTAATGGATATTTTTTTAAAATACCTATTTTACCCTTTTATGAATTAATGTATACATTTTTTACTAAAATACCCATGTCTATGTGTTATATACTTTGTGCCATCTCTTCTTATCCCAGTTTCACAAGTATGTTATTGTATGACTCTCACAAGGGGAAGGTGGGGTCCCTTCACATTTGGGTTGGGTCCAATCTTCTGTTCTAAGATTCAATATATGAAGGTCATTTACTTTCTTGGAACCATTGTTACCCCTAAAACTATCATCCTATGGCCCCACGAGTACTGCATTGTGGTTGTCTTTTGTACCAGGCTGTTGACGAGTAGTTACATGGGTGCTCCATGCCATTGTTTCAAGATTAAGCACGAGAACATCATTGAAGTGCTGCCCTCAACAACAACCCTGAAACTGAAATAGGTAGAAGGAAAAAACAGTAGAAGAAATAAGAATGTAGAATGCAAATGGAATGTGAACTTTTAGTTCTTGGTCATTGATGGAAGGAAGGTATTTGTTGATTTTTTTCAAAAATAGAGGGGAGCTTTTTGCTAAAGTGAAACTATAGGGGAGGTTTTTATGATTGTCAGGAACTTCAGGGGAGGTTTTTGTATTTTACCCAAGGGAGAATGACTGATCAGCCTAGCTCAAATTCTTAGCTCCACCGTACAGGGGTGACTGATCAGCACAGCTTAGAATTCTTAGCCCCACTGTACAGGGAGATGAATCTGATCGTGAATTGATGTCAAATCAACAAGTAAGATGCGATTTATAGGGGGGCTACTAATCGACTATGGAGGAAGGGCTGTAATTTCAGAATTCTGCATTGGACTGCAGTTTACTTCTCCCTAAAGGTCACTGCTACTCCAACTCTCGGGTTATCTTCACTGCCAAGGAGGTCATTTTTGCAAGAACCACCACCCAAAATTAATCCATATGAACATTTGTGCTCATACACCAACACAATGAAAAAAGAGATGGTCACGTGTCTCTGGGGCATCACAGCAATTACAACAACAACCTTCATATATCGTCGGTGATCGTGAGGCTAGCACTGCCGGTAAAGGGAGAGCATTGGAGAGTCAACGCCAAAGAAAATAAGAACCCGAGGGGGGAGCCCCCTAAATTTTCACAATCTTTGCCAACTAATCCCTGCGAAGGCTACATCCATACTTCTTCGCTTGTATCTTCTTGCATCCACAATCACAAGCTTGCTTCTTCTTGCATCCATACTTGATAGACTGAAGCTGATGTCAGATTCCCGGTTGGAGAACAAGTCATCAACACTACATGGTCCTCCGCTTCCTGAATGCATCTTTGCAAGGTTATAGAATAGATCTCAAACGCAACACTAGGTTCAAAAGATTCATGAATTACCTTGTGATCGTGTGTGATTTGGGTGCTCCTAGCTGGAGGGCAGCTCGGATGTCGGTGCTCAGTTGGTCGGTCGAACTGCAAGAGAAAGGATCAGAGAACCTCAGGGTGGTTAACCCTGCGAGGTCGCTCCGATGCTTAAGTTAGTACTTGTTTAGTAGATTGCGAGCTGTAAATCAGTAATTTTGAGAGTTAGAGTGCACTTAATCGTGCGTACTTGGATACTGAGGGCTGATACCTTTATATAGTTTAATTGTCGTGAGCCCCAAGGAACCTCTCTGAGATCTACGGACTGAGCTAGACGAGTGCATTCCACTTTGGGAGGTGACTAACGTGCTAGCTGATAAGGTTTATCGTGTCCGCCCAATTCAGGTGGGATGAAGATAAGGCCTACGATTGCGTGGCATGATCCCGAATGGTTTGGTAGCAGCTTGCAGGCTTCTAGAATCTGCTATATATCATCCTCAGTAGATTTGGTCATCTGAGGTACTCAGACCTTGGTGCTATCCGAGGTGACTTAATTTGCCATGATGGCGGGAGGTGCTGAATCACCATCCAATTGGCGGGCCACGTCCACGTGTCCTCTGCTTATCAAGTCAGCCAAATCACCCCTCATCAGCTTGGAATTCCATAATCAATAAGATGGACAACCCTCGAAATTGTTCCACTCCTAAGATTAATAGCCGATTGGTTTTGATAGCTAAGAGTCATCAAATACATTAATGTTCCAACCATTTCCAACCAATAGTAGAACATTCCGACAACTAACAATTGCCTTGCATATAGCTGAATCCTGAGGTCGTCTCTCTTTACGGACCAATAAGATCTACCCACATGGATATATTTGCTTCTGAGGATGCTAGTCCGAAGCCTATTTTCCCAGTCAAAAATATTCATGCAAGTTTAGAAAGTAGCTAATAGTCTATAGCGGCATGTCCTTGAAACCCATACCACCCCTAGTTTACAAAAACCCCACCAGAAATCTGCATTCAATTGGGAGAGGGTGGATGTGGGGAGCTGCTAATAAGCATGGATCATAGATTGAAGTCATTGACTTGATAAGGATTTCACGAGATGCATGGGAAAGACAACCAGCTTTCCATCCCTATAATTTAGCTTTCACCTTATCAACAAGAAAATTCCAAGGAACACCCAGATACCATTCACATTGTTTCATTCGTTTGGCTCCAAAGAGCCTAGATATCTGTGAGCGGTGCCGTCTATACACATTACTAGGACATAGCTCAGATTAATTTCTTGGCCTGACCAACTACAAAACAAGACATAATCTCCTAGATTTTCATAATTTCGTTGATGGAGCTAGCTCCTCCCAAATAATAACATATCTCAGCTTAATACCACCATGTCCAAACCTCAAACCTTTAACATTGCCGCTCTCCGGCCTGTGTTGTAACATATAAGAAAAATGTCCAGCACAAAATAAACAAATTAATATGGGGAGAGAGGGCAACTTTGTCGTAGACCCCTTTCTGGTTGGAAATAATCCCCAAATTGGCCATTTAAGAGAATTTAAAAGGTGGCAGTGGAGACACAACACTTCACTTTTGCGAAATTGAGGTGAAAAATCCTCAAGGCTCAGTTTGGGGGTAGTACAAATACAAATATATACAATGCAAATAATTACCAAATAATACAAAATACAGGGTTTTGCATTGTACATATCTGTATTTGTACTCTTTCCTAATATAGCCTAAGGCTGCATTTAGAAACGATACAAATGGAGTGTAAATCCTGGTTCAGGGTAAATTTGCACTTTGGTTGACTTTTGCCTGTGTTTGGCACATTACATTTTTGTATTGATAAATGACAGACCAATGCATATTTACATCGATAATAAGATGTAAAAGTACATCAATAAAAAAAGAAGTAAATTTGTATTTAAGTGGGCTTTTGATAAAATAAAAGCATGTGTTTTATTGGAATTCGTGTTTGCATCCATTATAGCTAAAAGTCTTTTTGGTAAGAAGGTAAATTTGTCAATGCAAAACTAATCTAACTTTGCAATTTATATGAACCTTTTTACACTCTACATATATGCATTCGCACATATTTGCATCATTTCCAACCACAACCTAAATTGCAAAGACTAATCCAAAAAATTCTATTCAATTTTATTATATGAATTTTAGAGGTCCACCTTCAACATGAAATTACCATGTTTACCCTTCATTCTTTACATGGAGTGCACTTACTTATTGACTTGGATTTGACGCCTAAGAATTAACAAAGGCATTTTGAAATGGAGCAATAATTCCATCCATCAATGTCTTCAACTTGTTGGCTATAATTTTGACAACAACTTTATATGGAACATTAGTAAAAAATGAGTAGTATCAAGTTTGTTAGAAAATAAAACTTATTCAAGGACCTCAAGTAACTGTTGAAGCTTTTAGGTTGAATGGTTCTTTGAGATGGTATCATAGCCACTTTAAAATAGTATAGTTTCGAATTTTACAATTGAAAGCTGGGTCAAAAAATACCTATTGCACAAAATTTATTAAGTCTTGGCCCACCTCTTCCCATGCTTTTTAATAGAACAAAGATGGTATCCCATCAGGTCCAGGGGCCTTCGTAGGCCTTATGCTACATAGTGCAGACTTTATTTCATCTTCATCAGGGATTAGACGAAGTGAAGAGTTCTCCTAATCAGAAATTTGTAACGTCAAGAAATCCGGAGTGTCAATTGGCACCCATGGGTAACTCCTTAGTTATAATAAGAAGCAATGGCAAGGTTTTTAAAACTGACCCGGAGATCGAACCGGTCAGGGGTCCGGTTCTCGGGTTGAATGGTTCAACTGTTTGAACTGAACGATCGGTCCGTTCTGACAAAAAATAAAAAAAATAAAAAAAAAAGGTCAAAACCGTTGAACGGTTTGAACAGTTCAACCTCCCGGGTCAGCAGTTTGCTGACCAAATCAACAGTTTTTTGCAAAAATTCGGTTTTGGAGAAAAACATAACCGGTTTCCGATTTTTCCGGTTGATCGTCCGGTCCGGTCCGGTTTTGAAGACCATGAGCAATGGTATTGTCATCATCAGTCCATCTACAGGTATTGTCCTTAAGCCAGTTGATTATGTTTCGTCTTTCCTTAATTTAAAGCTATTGCGTGAAAGAAATGTGTATTTCAATCACCTTCAAGGAGCCATGAGGCTCTTGATCTCTGATGCCAATGCCAAGATGATTCTTCCAGCTCCGGTAAGTGTTCAAGTTCTTTGACGGTGTTGCCCTCTTGTATCTTGGGAAGTTGTTACTCCACATCTTTAATTCTGCGATGGAAATTGCCAACCCGTAAACTTTCCCACTTGACTAGATGGTCTTTACACTTCACACATTTGTCGAGAAATGGTGCATCTATATTGTTCCGAAACCTTTTGCTTCATCTTTAAACCCGTAAACTTCGACAGCCCATAGGTCAACGATATTTTCGAAACAATGATTTCTTGTTGGTTTGTAAACACTATTACTTGGAAACAAATCTGTTTATCCTATAATCACAAGGATTTAAGTGTTTATGTAATGTTGCAAGACTCAAATTCGAGTAGATGGTTGAACCTGTGGCCAAGTGACCCGATGACCTTGCTGGGTCCAAATTAAATAACTAGAGCTATTAATGGATTGGGTCTGGTTCAGGATAAGATGTTAATGGGGACAATAAGGACCCAGAGGTGAACCAATTATTAATCGGATCAATCGGGTCTAACCATATGAGGCTAGATTATACTTGGCATCTATAATTGATTACAGCAATTCTTCATTTTGATAATATAACTTCAAGAAAATTGAAACTATTTAAAATAAATTAAACTATTTTCATGTTGTAAAGTATACGCTTTTCTGGCGCCTAATAAAATGTGATTTTAATCATAATTAGCGTATATATTGATTATGAAACTTATTAATTACATAATCAGCTCGAAACATGAACGGGTTCCCACCCATTATTAGTCCAGACAAAACCACAAAACTAGAAACGATATATAATGGATTTGGTCAGTTTGATTGTTATTCCATCTTGTATAAATATTTAATACAATGAAAGTGTTAACAAAAAAAAATACCATGAAAGAACCCAATACAATTCTAATCTTCTTACAGAACCCAAAGAATTTAACTATGACTTGCGTAAAAAAGAACAGCACGACGAAAAGTAAAGAAGGGGGAAGCTTGAGAAATCTCGGGCGCCAGCTTAAGCTTCCCTGTGCAGCTTTTCTAGTCAAGAGAGTAGCAAATCTGTTTGAAGAGCTCGACGTGTTCATGCAAGAGAGCAAGGAACACATCCACAGCGCCTTTCTCCTTGCAGGAAGGCACAAAAATCAGTAACCCTTCAACAGGCAAATCCGGAGGAAGAAAAGTACAGGGCCATCCGCCACCAAAGTCAAGATCGTGGAAATGGAAGCTCAACCAGCTATCCACCTCCAAGTTGGGACACAACGAGTCTCCAATCTCTGGTGCTGTGGCCACCAATTCTTCTTCTTTTCCTTTTGA